GTTTCACCTGCCCCGAGGGGGGTTATACCCACCTTTGATACAAAATCAGGTCGCCTTTTCCCCATAATGCTTTAGACCAAATATGGACAAAATCCTGTTATTCCTACTGGAGAAGAATGTTCAAGATATTGCTAAATTACCTCTGTTGGGCCCCTGGGGGGTCAGACACACCATTTACACAAATTGATTTCCCTTCTCCATATGGGNCAACCGTTTATACAAAATTGAGTCCCCTTTGCCAAAGTATGCTCCAGACTAAATAAGGATAAAATCCTTTAATCCCTACAGTAGGAAAATGTTGACGGATGGACGCTGCGGTATGACATAAGCTCACCATGGTGAGCTAAAAACGATTACGCTGTTTTCGATCGTTTTTAGGTTGTCTGAACAGGAAGTGAGATACCCTTTAATCATCAGACCACAGGTACTAGCCTCGTCTGTCAATACACCTATAATATACTCTTAAAGGTGTATTGACAGGCCAGGCTTGTACCTGTGATCAGGCATAGATTGTGTGGAAACCCGATAAGATATTAATACAAATTGATGAAGTAATAATTGAAATCATTTGTTAATTGTCATTAATATCAGCTTGTTATATAAATAGTCACAATATACCTATTTTGCACCGAGAAGTTGCGTTACATTTTGGCCCATAAGCGTCATAATAGTTTGCCGCACTATGTAAATTACGATCATGTGACAATCACATGTCTCGCAAGTCGTGCGGTGAAATCAAATTGCATAGAAACATAGATAGCAATACCGCACATGTTTTGTTTAGACTAATTGTTATATATGACTAGAAAGCGATGATCGATCTATTGTTTTCCACTGAATGGGGTGAAACGAGGTGTGAAAATTTTACCTGGAGTGGCATGGATAGTTGATCATCTCGGGTGATGACTTACACGAGTTTTCACCTTATCCATTCACGGCAGAAAAAATATTATAATAAGCGGGGTCCAAACTTTGACCATATCATAATATAAAGGATTTGATTTGCTTTGTTAAAGGATGATATCGATACATGGGAAAAGAATGATAATAAGCGACATCATAATAAGTAGGTTCCACTCTAGTACAAAAAACTCCTATAATCTAGAAAAGATATATTTTCACAACATAAAACATTAAACATAAACACTGCATTATTAAATTGAATAAATGTGTAACAAGTTTGTAACGAACATATCTTTCAATCCTTGTCTTGAACACACCGCATCATGTTTCATTAGTACTGATAAAATATCTTGTAATTTCGCGTGGACATCTTGTATTTGTGCACCGAACCGGGACGGCATGCGACCCATGCTGGAGCCAATTTACCTGTACTGCGCTTGTGTTTTATCTCACAGACCGGTTCCGGTATCGATTTCCACGTTGTTTACCTAGGAAACTGATATTGTCTAATCTAATTCCGTGGGTTAGTCAAATATTACATCTGAGGGAAATAAAGCTTTTATGACAACTCACAAATATGGTCCGACCCTACAAATAGACCGACTTCATTCAAATACAGCAGATCAGGTTACTCCAATGTTCTACTAATGGATACAAGGTTTTGCAGATATACAGGTAAACCGCGTCGGTGGCCTTTGGCAACATCCAGCCAGCTGTTTGACGAGTAGCTAAAGTTATTAAAGTATGGTTAGCTTTACAGTTCTTGGGTTAAGGATCTCCGTCCCAGCCAGAGCAAAACACTAAAGATTTCCAGTGTCGTTTTTCAGTGTTAGAGTCACCTGCCCTTGAAGACCATTTCGACAATGTTGTTATCTTCCCTTGAATAGATTTTGTTTGAATAAAGTTTCGACTACAGGGTTGTGTCCCTTGCTTTGAAAATCTCCAATCGCGAAAGTGTGGGCAAAAAAAGCTGTCGTAACGATGAAAACAACGTTGTGGCAGTGGTGGCCGACATGCAAGCCTTACGTAAAATCGCCCGTTTTAAATGTAAACAAAACACATTAACAGACAATAATAACAACAACGATGTCCAAAATCAACTGCTAGACCAAGACTATGCAACGAAACAAAGTGACACTCTTTCACACATTGAAGAGATGCTGGCTTCAGAGGCCCTTACTAGGCTTACCCGCAGTTTTACTGATGAGCTGACACCGACGTCCCATGAGGATCTCTCCAGTACTAGTGATCACGAATACGTCCATAACTTTTTAACCTGGTCGCAGGGTAGACGAGTGGTTGAACTTGCGATGTTATCTGAATACCTGGACCAGAAAGGTTGTAAGGAATGCGGTACTAGGCTACGGTTCTGCAATACCCAACAGGAAAGACATTTTGGCCTGGGAAGTATTTTATACATCACAATAGTCAGGATTATATTCTATATTTGTTATAACATGTATATACCCAAAGGCCTATATTTCAAGTTCATTTTTTTATATTATATACAAGTGTTATTTTTACAATGTGATATTTTTATAACACACTATCGTATGTTGTTATTTGTACATAATGTAAAAGTTTATTATTGTTGTATAGTGTGATATTCTGTATATAATGAGAAAGTTTATTATTGCTATATAGTGTGATTTTTTTATATCACAATATGGTATGTTGTTATCTGTACATAATGTGAAAGTTTATTATTGTTTTGTTCAGAATGTAAAGTTTATTATTGTTGTATATAGTGTAATTTTTATATCACAACATGGTATGTTATTTGCCTACATGTAGAAATTTATTATTGTTATGTAAAGTTTGTGAAATTTTGTTATTGTTGTTCATTGTGACATTTTTTGCTACGACACAGTAAAGTACATTGTTTGTTATAATGTTATTCATACACAATGTGCAATTTTGTTTTATATGGGTTATTACATTTGAAGTAATTTTAATGGTTGGTAATGCCTACTGTATTATATTGGTATATAAAAAGTGCTATATTGTATGTTGTAAATTGTATATACGACTTTTTGGGATTTTATTTCTAATATAACTAATATATATTTCTAACAAGAGTCCCAAGAGGGCCTGTATCGCTCACCTGAATATTTAAGCAGTCATAGCAAAATATTTTCATAAAATATTATATTGCACTAAAAATATTTCCCTCGCAAACTTTGTTGGCTCCATCTGTTGAAACTACCAGCAAAATATGATTATAAGATTCTATGCTTTTTGATTCTTGTTCAGAAGTTGCTTGACATATTTTTCCCTGTGATCTTGTAAGTAGGTCAATGTCATTTTCCTTCTCAAATTGGTTAGCTCTATTCCAATAAGCTACCAGCCAAATCTTATAAATCCATTCCTTTTAGTTCTCAAGAACAAATCCATTAAAATGTTGTTGACCTCTGTGACCTCTAAAGTAGGTTGAGGGCATTTTCATTTGCAAACTTTGGTGAGCTCTATCCCATTTTATGCCTTTTAATTATTTAAAAGAAGCTGTTTGAACTGTTTGACATATTTGAACGCTGTGACCTTGAAAGTAGGTCAAGGTCATTTTCATTCTCAAACTTTGTTGGGCTCCATCCCAGGAGGCCATCAGCCAAATTATGAAGATTTTATACCTTTTAATTCTTAAGAAGAAGTCGTTTGAAGTTTTTGACATATTTGACCCCTGTGCCCTTGAAAGTAGGTCAAACCCCTTTTTTAATTCTCAAACTTTGTTGGTCTCTATCCCAGGAAGCCACCAAAGATTCTATGCTTTTTAGTTCTTCAGAAGAAGTCGTTTGGAGTGTTTGACACATTTGACCCCTGTGACCTTGAAAGAAGGTCAAGGTAATTTTCATTCTCAAACTTCGTTGGGCTCCATCCCAGGAAGCCATCAGCCAAAATATGAAGATTTTATACCTTTTAATTCTTCAGAAGAAGTCGTTTGGAGTGTTTGACACATTTGACCCCTGTGACCTTGAAAGAAGGTCAAGGTAATTTTCATTCTCAAACTTTGTTGGCCCCTATCCGTAGGAAGCCACCAGCCAAATATAAAGATTATATATCTTTCAGTTCTTCAGAAGAAGTCGTTTGAAGTTTTTGACATATTTGACCCCTGTGACCTTGAAAGTAGGTCAAACCCCTTTTTTTATTCTCAAACTTTGTTGGTCTCTATCCCAGGAAGCCACCAAAGATTCTATACTTTTTAGTTCTTCAGAAGAAGTCGTTTGAAGTTTTTGACATATTTGACCCCTGTGACACGAAGTGCCAGGTGAGCTAATAAACCATTGTTGCATCAAATAAAATGTTTTTTGTTTCATTTTATTCCTTAAGTTCAACTACACTTTCTTTTTTCAAAATTTCATAATATCCCAAAAAATCTGAAGAAACTACCGCAAGGTATGGGTTATTGTTCAGAAATGATATGGTTATGCAATAGCGATGCCGTAGAAAAAAAATAACAAGTCCTGTCGATCTATTCTGTGACTATACTGAAATGGACAGAATATTTCGGGGAGAGTTTCTTAATTCTGACGGAAAGAATAGTCATATTAAAGTGGTCAGTAATATAATTTCAGGCTTAATTATTTGCAGTGGTAATCTTGTGATATAAAGCAAAGCTTTAGTGACCCAAACATTGTGATGGGAACTGTCCTGTACAGTAAGTAGGTCAGAGGAAACCATCCGCTTTGGGGAAGAGTGCCGGAAGCACAATTTCAGCAAGCAAAGCTTGGTCAGAAAATTAATTAGAATATTTTTTTATTAATTGTATACTCACAAAATACAAGCATGGCTAGTTAAGAAAGTATCGAAGTGAATGCTTTCTCTGCCTATTAGTAGGCTAACCACAAAATGGCATCACTATGGTATGAATAGAAATGCTAGGGGTCCCTGCCGAAAACATTTGCATATGAATGAAAAGTAAATGAATTAGTTTCCATATAAGGAGATATCAGTTTCCATATAAGGACAGAGATACCATATATGGTTACAGATGTCGCTGCTATCGAAAGCGCAATTACACGTTAAGCAAACTTGTAGTATGCGCGATCCCCTAGACACCTGCGTTATCTAACGCATGTGTCAAAAACAATGCATACAAGATGTCATCATCAAACGTTTAATTACTTCGGATGGCGTCTCCTTACCATGTACTTTGATTCACATGCATTACCTTACAACCCAATCACTTACACATATCAGTTCTGCCTGTTCAGCTTATTTCATAAAACACTCTTGTTTAAACCAAGAGTTACAATGCAGGGTGTCATCAGGACATAACTATAGTATCAAATTGGTGATCAATATATAGCCATGACAGCAGTCACATTTCCAGTCCCAGTCTTAATACATGAACATATTTCAAATTTGACAACAGAATTTTTTCCTCGTATCTAAATTGAATGTTGACAAGGTCCAGAAAAAAAGGGAAAAAATTTGGTAACATGTATAAAGTCCAATTAATGGACTTCACATTACAAGCCAACCTTTCTACCTTACTTTCACAATAGCACCTACATTAACGGGATTCACTGATCCAATGTCATGCCTCCAAATCATTTGTTTCTCCAATGTTGTCACATGATTTGAAGAATTTGTGTATTACAACTTCAGTAAAACGAGGGAAACTTTCCCCATAAAGGAACTTGTCATGATTGATGATCTGCACCGCTTACATTTCAGTCCCCATTGCACAGAATCAGGTACAACATCAACAATTATTCATTCTGAATCAACATCTGATCTATAGATGTACCTATTAACTTAACGCTTTAGACTCGTGTGTGGTTTCAGTTAACATTTTAAAGGCACAAATCAGCACATAGTCCCTTCAATTTATTTCAGTCCATTATTCTGTCAACAGAAGACAATGGATGCTCAAAATGAACAAGGTCAATATTGTTTGTATGAAGAATAGCACAGGTTCACAAGTTGACTGGCTGTTGGTCCATTTGTGACGGATATCCAAGGGGATCTAAATTCTTGTTCAAATTGGACAATGAAGAATCCCTCAAAAGCCGCAGTAATTGCTGTAATTCATCTTTCCGGAATACCTGTCAATGACAACATGTACACTTGCGTCAACTCATTTGTACAGACCCTTCACATTTCAAATATGTTTTTATTTTTATTTTGTCCATCAAAGATTAAGTTTTTAAGATATAAAGAATTGTTTCGTACCTTGTAAAGACCATGTTGCTCAGAGGCCACAAGATCTGCAATTTTTAGACACTCGTCATAATGGCCACTTGTGTGCAGGATTTTGTGGAGAAGGAAGCACAGTCCTGGCAACACCAACTGTCTTAGCAACCCCATCTGGTGTTCACGATTGGTATCAGGGGAAACAACCTGTCAGAAATGGGAAACAAGAATTTTGTGAAATGAAAATCAAGGATTTTATCAAGTCACTGAACTAATGTAATACTTAAGTAATTCCTTCTGTTTCCCCCAATAGTCAATTTTTACAATTTTGAAAAGGCTGTGACATTAAAATATATCACAAAGTACAAGCAATTGGATATCTTTCCCTTTTTTTTTCCAATGGTCAGAGAATTTGCATTTGAATCTCAAGACCATTTATCAGAATACACTTCCTTATAGGCAAAATCTTACCTTTTTTTTTTTACTTATTTCTTTATTCAAAGTGTAAACAATGAACATTTTTTTGTCAAATTATTACATGTTCCCTTGCAGGAATTGACATTATTGCAGAATCCTTTCATAATATTTCTTGTAGGATAAGGATAACATCATTTCAACTAAAATTTCCTTGACATATAACAGTAAAATATTGTAAGCCGAGACATTAGTCAATAAAAAAAGCATTTTCTTTTTGGGCACAGATTTTTACGTTATAGGAGCAAATGGCATAGGTTATTTGGCATGTAAGTATGATGTACATACATGCCATAACTTTCCCGTGCAAAATAGCGACACTTTAAAAAAAAAAAAAAAAAAAAGAGGAAACAATTTTTGTGTGAATTACATTCAACAACGAAAATCAAAGACTAACAAGGGTACCACGAATAATATGCCCAGGGCAAAACTCCATAAATTATTGTTTGACAATGGTAGTTATCGAACTTGTCCGAGCTGTCATGGCAATCAACCTTCTTTTGAAGTTTGAACTTATTGCCCTGAAAACTTTTTGGCAATTGACTAAAGGGTCATAACACCATAAATTATGGTCCGATAATTGCGGTTATCTAACTTGTTCGAGCTATCATGGCAATGAACATTCCTATGAAGTTTGAAGTTAATCCATTGAAAACTACTCAAAAAACATATCGTCTGGACACCGTTCACGCTCACCAATCTATTTCTTATTTGTCATGTATCCAATTGTGAGGAAACTTTCCTTATCGTGTAAATAGTTATTAATAATTTTTCCCATCCTGACAACGAGAGAACAAATTTTGATTTTTTATGGTCACAACTTACATTTCCGTTCGTTCCTATGTTGCTGTTTAATATTCATTCCTATTGTTTCTTCACTAAGATTGACCAAGATTTGTTTCTTTTCATGGGACTGATTGAAAATTCGAATTTTTGTGAAGTAATTTTTGTGAGTCTCATGCTCCAATCATTAGATATGGCATGTATGTATGTAGAAACCCTCCTCCTCAACACTGAAAAGTGACTAGTATATGCTACTGCACCTGTTTCTGGTCCACCATCCAGCCTCCATCCGCGAAAAGTAACACATTGTATATCATCCCCTTGGTTGTCTGCAACATAATCACAAATATACAAATACCTGTCCTCATTGACAAACATGTAACATAGTTTTCACAACAGTTGTAGTAATATCATACATTATAACTGAATTTGATCTGTAAATCTTTCTCATGATTACTATTTATATAATCTCTTTGTTTTAAAAATCTTATTTATAAATCACTAAATTTTGTTCTGTAAATCTTTTTTAACAGTAACAACAATTCTCTTCACTTTGGCCTATACATTTTAGTTATGAAAAAGAAATCTGTCCACTTTGTTCAGCAACTCTTATTTATAGTCGCAATTAATCTGTTTTTTTTTAAACAAGAGCCTGTATCGCTCACCTGAATACCAAAGCAATCATGGCAAAAAATTCTCCAAATGAGATCAAGGGAATATGCCAGATCCCAAGGCCAATCCTTGTAGCATATCTGTATTAGATTTTTCATGCCCAGCAATGTTATATATGGTTATGGGGTGGGAGATCTCAACTGTTTCCAAGCTTTGACTCAGAAACTAGGTCCCTAGGGTTGTGGCCAGACCCCAGGATTTTTCATGCCCAGCAATGTTATATATGGTTATGGGGTGGGAGATCTCAACTGTTTCCAAGCTTTGACTCAGAAACTAGGTCCCTAGGGTTGTGGCCAGACCCCAGGATTTTTCATGCCCAGCAATGTTATATATGGTTATGGGGTGGGAGATCTCAACTGTTTCCAAGCTTTGACTCAGAAACTAGGTCCCTAGGGTTGTGGCCAGACCCCAGGATCAATTCTAATATCGTGACTGCATTTGTCTCTTTTTGCCCAGCATTTTTATATATAGTTTTGGGGCGGGGATCTCAACCGTTTCAAAGTTATGACCCAGGGTTTAAGTCTGCAAGGGTGGGGCAGACCCTGGGACCAATTTTAATATCATGACTGCATTCGTCTTTTCATGCCCAACAATTGTATATATAGTTTTGGGGTGGGGATCTAAACCATTTCAAAGTTATGACCCAGGGGTTAAGTCTCCAAGGGTGGGGCAGTCCCCAAGGCCATCCTGGAAGCATATGTGCAATCATCTCTTTATACTCAGCAATTGTATATACCGTTATAGGGTGGGTATCTCAACTGTTTCCAAGCTGTGACTAATAAACTAGGTCCCTAGGAGTTCGGTCAGACCCCAGGGTCTATTCTGATATCATGACTGCATTCGTCTTTTTATGCCCAGCATTTGTATATATAGTTTTGGGGTGGGGATCTCAACAGTTTTAAAGGTATGGCCCAGGGATTATGTCTCCAAGGATGGAGCCAGACCCTATAGCCATCCTGGAAGCAAATGTGCATTCTTCTCTTTATACTCGGCAATTGTATACCATGGTTATATGGTGGGGATCTCAACCATTTCCAAGTAATACACTTTTTTTGGCCCCACCCCTTATCCCGGGGGGTCAGTCCCACCATTTGTACCATTTTGAATCCCCGCCTCCCATGAATGCTTCCGATCAAATATGATCAATATCCATGGCATATTTCTAGAAGTCGTTTATAGCAATATAGTCAAATTGCCCCCTTTTTGGCCCCGCCCTCTGCCCGCTTGGGGGCTCAGCCCCACCATTTGTACAATTTTGAATCCCCACCACCTAGGGATGATTCCAGTCAAATATGGTTGACATCCACTTCTTAGTTCCAGAGAAGAAGTCGCTTAAAGCAATATTGCAAAATTGACCCCTTTTTGCCCCGCCCCTCAGCCCCTGGGGGGTCAGCTCCATCATTTGTACATTTTTGAATCGCTGACACCTAGGGATGCTTCCAGTCAAATATGGTTGATATCAACTTCTTAGTTCCAGAGAGGAAGAAAGTAATATAGCCAAATTGACTCCTTTTGGCCCCCACCCCTCAGCCCCATGGGGGGTCAGCCCAACCATTTGTACAATTTTGAATCACCACCACCTAGGGATGCTTCCAGTCAAATATGGTTGATATCCATGACATTGTTCTACAGAAAAAGTTGTTTGTAGCAATATAGCCAAATTGACTCCTTTTGGCCCCGCCCCTCAGCCCCTTGGGGGGTCAGCCCCACCATTGGTACAATTTTGAATCTCCACCACCTAGGGATGCTTCCAGTCAAATATGGTTGATATCCATTTCTCAGTTCCAGAGAAGAAGTCGCTGAAAGCAGTATAGCCAAATTGTCCCCTTTTTGCCCCGCCCCTCATCCCCCTGGGGGGTCAGTCCCATCATTTGTAAAATTTTGTATCCCCACCACCTAGAGATGCTTCCAGTCAAATATGGTTGATATCCACTACTTAGTTCCAGAGAAGAAGTTGCTTAAAGCAATATTGCAAAATTGACCCCTTTTGGCCCCAACCCTCAGCACCTGGGGGGTCAACCCCATCATTTGTACAATTTTGAATCCCCACCACCTAGGGATGCTTCCAGTCAAATATGGTTGATATCCACTTCTTAGTTCCAGAGAAGAAGTCGCTTAAAGCAATATAGCCAAATTGACCCCTTTTGGCCCCGCCCCTCAGACCCCAATATTTGTACAGTTTTGAATCCCCACCACCTAGGGGTGCTTCCAGTCAAATTTAGTTGAACTCCAATCAGTGGTTAAGAAGAAGAAGTCGTTTAAAAGATATTGTTGATGTACGGACGGACGAACGGTATGACATAAGCTCACCTTGGTCCTTCGTACCAGGTGAGCTAATAATAAATAGATGTTGCTTTTCCAGCTAATTCTCAACAACGCTGTAAAATCACATTTGCTATGTAATATGCTGGTGGGTCAGGGATTTTAACCAACAAATCAGTGATATTGGAACAACAAATCAAGGACTATGCTATGACAGCATATTGTGTAATTAATAGTAATGTTCAACTTTTCTATCATGTACAACAGCTTTCACAAATATAGTTCACAAATATGAGAAAATGAAACTGTCAAAATCCTTTACAGTATTGCAGTACCTTGGTTTGTATGTCGAGGTGGTGGCGCCACCTGTCCAATTCCTGTTGATAGCGTTTCATATGCTGTTCGTGTGCCACTTTCTCAGTAAAAGATGCGGCCTCTGCCAGCGTTGGCTTGGTAGGCTTGGTATGATGGTACTGGTTGAACAAGTCATTGAAACTGTCCATGGCATTCTACAAAGAACACACAACTTATTACCACACCTATACATCAAACAATGTTAAGGGTATTTTTGTTGTGTGAAATGTCCAATGTTTACAATTTGAAAAATTGTTTATATGTAAAAAAAGAGATGTATATCATAGGTAATAGCTTCAATATGCACAACTTTTAGCACAACATTTCAAAAATCATTTTAGAAGAATTGGTCTTAGGTTCACCGATATGAAAACTTGTTTTGTCTTTTACTTTAGGTTTTCGTAACATTAACATCTGGTTAAATTGACAGCCAAAAAATTGAAAAGCAGCTTTAAATTATCGTGAAAAAACAACCATATCAATAAAGATTTTAAAGTCTGTAAGAATCTTTAAGTCATTATAACAATGCTTCATTAATCTATTTGTTTTGGGTTTAATATTTTCGCAACAGCTGTGATGATATGGAGATAATGTGAACCAAACAAACTTAATAAGAGGTGAAAGTGATGTGCTGACTCACAAGGTAGGCTCTGTGACACAGGTATTCCCGCACACTGTTGGCTTCCTCAGGAGGCAAGTCAGCTGATCCTGTCTGTAAACATCAACACAGTACAGCCAATTAGTGAACAAGTCCAGATATAAAAAAAAACAAGTATGTTTCCCCTTTTGACCTGTCCAGTCATCAACACATCTATTCCACACCACAAACAGTTATCTCACAACAATCAGTGAAATGTTGGGATAAATCAGTAAAATGTGTCTTATCTTTACTAATTACATCATGATCAGAAAAGTTTTTTTTTTATTAGACTAAACCTTTCAATAATATATCTCTGCTGATCAAACTTTGCATGATGAAATTAAAATATGAAACAAATAAAGGGCCATCCTTAAAATATTGTGTTTGCAGTTTCCCAACCGACTCCCTATAAATGGCACCAACACAAACATTTCTTGCAACTTTTAGTAATTTTTGTTGTTGTTGCTGAAAAAACCAATGACACTAAGGGTTTTTATATAGGAATATGAGATTTCGAAAAAGAAAATCCAACCTGCCTACCCAGTGAAATAAATGCAAACAGGGAAACTGCAAACAAACATTTTTTTTAAAGGATGAGTTTCTTAGTCATATGATAATCTATCAGCAGCTGAGTAAATATTAACACAATGGTGTACCAATCTAAAAATAAGTGTCTTAGTCATATGATAATCTATACACCATCAGCAGCTGAGTAAATATTAACACAATGGTGTACCAATCTAAAAATAAGTGTCTTATTCATATGATAATCTATACACCATCAGCAGCTGAGTAAATATTAACTCAATGGTGTACCAATCTAAAAATAAGTGTCTTATTCATATGATAATCCATCAGCAGCTGAGTAACTATTAACTCAATGGTGTACCTGGTACTGCCAAGTCTTCACAATTACATCTATGGAGTCGGCAGGTAACTTGTGGAACACCTCCTTAGCAGCATGTAGCTTCTTGATGGCTATGAGCAAACAAGATATTTATCATATTAAAGTCAAAGTGCCCATGGCACTAGAGGAAATATCGGGCAATGTTCTGAACATGATGTAAAGTCTCGGGGTAATGTTCACTTCTCAAGCATGATATAAATTCTCAAGAATGGTTTTAACTCTCGGACAAGTCGATGGGCCATAATAATAATAATTATAATAATTTGAGGTTTTTATATACCGCTTTATCACAACCTAGTTCGTAGGTCGTCTCACAGCGGTTCACAAATTATTATCCGTGGTTATAGGGCCTTTGCAACAAGCAAATACCTTTCTCAACTCCCTGGGGAGCATACAGCCGAGGCTGCCATTTCTGCACTTACAGCTAGCATTCAACAATTCTAGTACTGCCCAACCATGTACTCATTTAAAGCTGAGAAGACTGGCACACGAGGAGTGAAGGATCTTGCTCAAAGATACAAAACAGTGCCGTGCCGTGACTCGAACACGCAACCCTTCGGTCACGAGCCCAGCGTCCTACCACTAGGCTACCGTGCCTCCGTAACACTATTACAAAACAAAACCATGTGGTAATATGATGCCCTAATGTAAATAGAAAACTGCACATGCGTAGTGACACCTAATGAGATTAATGAGAAACACTTTTATATGTTCCTATCTTCTTTAAACCAATATATAATGGGGTGAGTACACATCGCACTAGTTAAAGGTAAACGACTAACCGTTAAAGGAGCAAGCCTTTGTTGCGTTATTGATAGGACAGGAAACCAAACTATTCAAAATCAGGGCAAAATATGAAAATAAACGAGTGCACTTGCGTAGCATCACCCCATAATGTTATCCCAAATTTTCACAAAAATGCATTGAGCAAATAAGCAGAATTAGCAAAATTTGTTATATTTGACTTCAAAATTAAAGAGCAATGCATTACACTCACACGTGACAACAGTAATGCGATATAAGTCTTTTCCCCTTTGGACCTATTCCCATAATCAGAATCGAATCATTGCCATGACTCAGCGTATTTCAATGATGAGTCATCAACTCACATTTGATTTAAAATAAAAAATTTACAACATAAGGATATTTGAATAAGTTAGTATTTCTTACATATACTACGAACGAAGTGCTACAAAAGTTGTCTCCCTAGCATTTTCAGTATCGAAGATTACCACCAGACGTCACAAATTCAGTAGAATACTGACGTCATGTCTGATAGGTGATCTCAATACGGCAGGCGTTAAACTTCTCCGTAAAAAGCATCTTTTCTTTTGGAACATATTTCGCTAAAAGTCCTTTATGAAATGACGAAAAATCACTTTAAACATTTATTGTGCCCTTCGTCGGATGAATAACTCAACAACAAGAAAATATTAGGCGATTGTTTGCCTTTTCGTGCTAGCATGATCTCTATTGGCTCAGGCCTGATGAGCCTGCCAATCCCCCCCAAAAAAATTCTGGAATAAGAAATTTTGGTTTAAAAATCTCAAATTCAGATTGAGATGGAATATGATACAGAACCCACCAGAAATAGTTTCGACAGCTGCCAGTCATACAAATGCAATCGATTCTTGATTGGTTTGAATAAAACACACAGCTTTGCTATGGATATCTTTTCTCATTTATTCATCAATTCAGTAGCCTGGTAGAATAACCAGTGTGTTGGTTACTGTCAGAGTAGGGGATTATTCTGATTATGACAAGGAGGAGATTCTACTTAAAAACAACTTACCAATGAATGAACGCATTACTGCATTGGCCTGTCTCATTGCTTCAGATCGCTGTGATTGGTCAAATACTAACCAATCAATTGCATCTATTTTCTTTCTATCCTCCTAAGGAAAGAAACATTAAATCATACTTACAATTGTTGTATTAGAAATAGGTGCAAGCCTCTTTTTGAGCTTCCCATGTTACCACAATTTCATAAATACAGTACACAGCTATGATTTTATGGACATGATTTTAAAACTATCATATATATTTGTTTCTATGGGGTGTACAATTTTGCTATACTAATATTTTTTTTAGCTATGCAAACATTACTGTTCAGATATGATTTAACAGCTATACATAATCTATTTTATAGCTGTACTGCAGGATACCACTTTATACAAATACCATTTCATAACTATTTTTTTTTCATCACTACACCAATATGTCACGGAATTTTATCTCTCATTTCTTTTATATTTTTTTTTATAATTCATACAGTGTTGTTACTTTCTACATATACATCAAACTAGTATTTATTGCATTATCCATGTGTAATATCATTAAGTAAATGTTTCCAAATATTAAATTGTGGCACTTTTGTAACTATATCCTATTTCCAGGGACTATAATAGACGAGACGCAATATCCTATTTCCAAGGACTGTAAAACGACGAGACACAATATCCTATTTCCAGGGACTATAATAGACAAGACCCAATATCCTATTTCCAGAGACTGTAATAGACGATACACAATATCCTATTTCCAGGGACTATAATAGACGAGACAAAATATCCTATTTCCAGGGACTATAATAGACGAGACACAATGTCCTATTTCCAGAGACTGTAATAGACGATACACAATATCCTATTTCCAGGGACAATAATAGACAAGACACAATATCCTATTTCCAGGGACTATAATAGACAAGACACAATATCCTATTTCCAGAGACTGTAATAGACGAGACACAATGTCCTATTTCCAGGGACTATAATAGACAAGACACAATGTCCTATTTCCAGAGACTGCAATAGACGATACACAATATCCTATTTCCAGGGACTATAATAGACGATACACAATATCCTATTTCCAGGGACTACAATAGACAAGACACAATATCCTATTTCCAGAGACTGTAATAGACAAGACACAATATCCTATTTCCAGGGACTATAATAGACAAGACACAATGTCCTATTTCCAGAGACTGTAATAGACAATACACAATATCCTATTTCCAGGGACTATAATAGACGATACACAATATCCTATTTCCAGGGACTACAATAGACAAGACACAATATCCTATTTCCAGAGACTGTAATAGACAAGACACAATATCCTATTTCCAGGGACTATAATAGACAAGACACAATGTCCTATTTCCAGAGACTGTAATAGACAATACACAATATCCTATTTCCAGGGACTATAATAGACGATACACAATATCCTATTTCCAGGGACTATAATAGACAAGACACAATATCCTATTTCCAGAGACTGTAATAGACAAGACACAATATCCTATTTCCAGGGACTATAATAGACAAGACACAATGTCCTATTTCCAGAGACTGTAATAGACAATACACAATATCCTATTTCCAGGGACTATAATAGACGATACACAATATCCTATTTCCAGGGACTATAATAGACAAGACACAATATCCTATTTCCAGAGACTGTAATAGACAAGACACAATATCCTATTTCCAGGGACTATAATAGACAAGACACAATGTCCTATTTCCAGAGACTGTAATAGACAATACACAATATCCTATTTCCAGGGACTATAATAGACAAGACACAATATCCTATTTCCAGAGACTGTAATAGACAAGACACAATATCCTATTTCCAGGGACTATAATAGACAAGACACAATGTCCTATTTCCAGAGACTGTAATAGACAATACACAATATCCTATTTCCAGGGACTATAATAGACAAGACACAATATCCTATTTCCAGAGACTGTAATAGACAAGACACAATATCCTATTTCCAGGGACTATAATAGACAAGACACAATGTCCTATTTCCAGAGACTGTAATAGACAATACACAATATCCTATTTCCAGGGACTATAATAGACAAGACACAATATCCTATTTCCAGGGACTATAATAGACAAGACACAATATCCTATTTCCAGAGACTGTAATAGACGAGACACAATATCCTATTTCCAGGGACTATAATAGACAAGACACAATGTCCTATTTCCAGAGACTGTAATAGACAATACACAATATCCTATTTCCAGGGACTATAATAGACAAGACACAATATCCTATTTCCAGGGACTATAATAGACAAGACACAATATCCTATTTCCAGAGACTGTAATAGACGAGACACAATGTCCTATTTCCAGGGACTATAATAGACAAGACACAATGTCCTATTTCCAGAGACTGCAATAGACGATACACAATATCCTATTTCCAGGGACTATAATAGACGATACACAATATCCTATTTCCAGAGACTACAATAGACAAGACACAATATCCTATTTCCAGAGACTGTAATAGACGAGACACAATATCCTATTTCCAGGGACTATAATAGACAAGACACAATGTCCTATTTCCAGAGACTGTAATAGACAATACACAATATCCTATTTCCAGGGACTATAATAGACGATACACAATATCCTATTTCCAGGGACTATAATAGACAAGACACAATATCCTATTTCCAGAGACTGTAATAGACAAGACACAATATCCTATTTCCAGGGACTATAATAGACAAGACACAATGTCCTATTTCCAGAGACTGTAATAGACAATACACAATATCCTATTTCCAGGGACTATAATAGACAAGACACAATATCCTATTTCCAGAGACTGTAATAGACAAGACACAATATCCTATTTCCAGGGACTATAATAGACAAGACACAATGTCCTATTTCCAGAGACTGTAATAGACAATACACAATATCCTATTTCCAGGGACTATAATAGACAAGACACAATATCCTATTTCCAGAGACTGTAATAGACAAGACACAATATCCTATTTCCAGGGACTATAATAGACAAGACACAATGTCCTATTTCCAGAGACTGTAATAGACAATACACAATATCCTATTTCCAGGGACTATAATAGACAAGACACAATATCCTATTTCCAGAGACTGTAATAGACAAGACACAATATCCTATTTCCAGGGACTATAATAGACAAGACACAATGTCCTATTTCCAGAGACTGTAATAGACAATACACAATATCCTATTTCCAGGGACTATAATAGACAAGACACAATATCCTATTTCCAGGGACTATAATAGACAAGACACAATATCCTATTTCCAGAGACTGTAATAGACGAGACACAATGTCCTATTTCCAGGGACTATAATAGACAAGACACAATGTCCTATTTCCAGAGACTGCAATAGACGATACACAATATCCTATTTCCAGGGACTATAATAGACGATACACAATATCCTATTTCCAGGGACTACAATAGACAAGACACAATATCCTATTTCCAGAGACTGTAATAGACAAGACACAATATCCTATTTCCAGGGACTATAATAGACAAGACACAATGTCCTATTTCCAGAGACTGTAATAGACAAGACACAATATCCTATTTCCAGGGACTATAATAGACAAGACACAATGTCCTATTTCCAGAGACTGTAATAGACAATACACAATATCCTATTTCCAGGGACTATAATAGACAAGACACAATATCCTATTTCCAGGGACTATAATAGACAAGACACAATATCCTATTTCCAGAGACTGTAATAGACGAGACACAATGTCCTATTTCCAGGGACTATAATAGACAAGACACAATGTCCTATTTCCAGAGACTGTAATAGACGATACACAATATCCTATTTCCAGGGACTATAATAGACAAGACACAATATCCTATTTCCAGAGACTGTAATAGACAAGACACAATATCCTATTTCCAGGGACTATAATAGACAAGACACAATGTCCTATTTCCAGAGACTGTAATAGACAATACACAATATCCTATTTCCAGGGACTATAATAGACAAGACACAATATCCTATTTCCAGAGACTGTAATAGACAAGACACAATATCCTATTTCCAGGGACTATAATAGACAAGACACAATGTCCTATTTCCAGAGACTGTAATAGACAATACACAATATCCTATTTCCAGGGACTATAATAGACAAGACACAATATCCTATTTCCAGGGACTATAATAGACAAGACACAATATCCTATTTCCAGAGACTGTAATAGACGATACACAATATCCTATTTCCAGGGACTATAATAGACAAGACACAATATCCTATTTCCAGAGACTGTAATAGACAAGACACAATATCCTATTTCCAGGGACTATAATAGACAAGACACAATGTCCTATTTCCAGAGACTGTAATAGACAATACACAATATCCTATTTCCAGGGACTATAATAGACAAGACACAATATCCTATTTCCAGGGACTATAATAGACAAGACACAATATCCTATTTCCAGAGACTGTAATAGACAAGACACAATGTCCTATTTCCAGGGACTATAATAGACAAGACACAATGTCCTATTTCCAGAGACTGTAATAGACAATACACAATATCCTATTTCCAGGGACTATAATAGACAAGACACAATATCCTATTTCCAGGGACTGTAATAGACAAGACACAATGTCCTATTTCCAGGGACTATAATAGACAAGACACAATGTCCTATTTCCAGAGACTGTAATAGACGATACACAATATCCTATTTCCAGGGACTATAATAGACGATACACAATATCCTATTTCCAGGGACTATAATAGACGAGACACAATAGCCTATTTCCAGGGACTATAATAGACGAGACAAAATATCCTATTTTCAGGGACTATAATAAATGAGACACAATATTCTATTTCCAGTGACTATAATAGACGAGACAAAATATCCTATTTCCAGGGACTATAATAAACGAGACACAATATCCTATTTCCAGGGACTATAATAGACGAGACCAAATATCCTATTTCCAGTGACTATAATAAACGAGACACAATATCCTATTTCCAGGGACTATAATAGACGAGACCCAATATCCTATTTCCAGGGACTATAATAGACGAGACACAATATCTTATTTCCAGTGACTGTAATAAACGAGACACAATATCCTATTTCCAGGGACTATAATAGACGAGACACAATATCCTATTTCCAAGGACTATAATAGACGAGACACAATATCCTATTTTCAGGGACTGTAATAGACAAGACACAATATCCTATTTCCAGTGACTATAATAGACGAGACACAATATCCTATTTCCAGTGACTATAATAGACTAGACACAATATCCTATTTCCAGGGACTATAATAGACGAGACACAATATCCTTTCTTCAGGGACTATAATAGACGAGACACAATATTCTATTTTCAGGGACTGTAATAGACGAGACACAATATTCTATTTCCAGTGACTATAATAAACGAGACACAATATTCTATTTCTGGGGACTATAATAAATGAGACACAATATTCTATTTCCAGGGACTGTAATAGACGAGACACAATGTCCTATTTCCAGTGACTATAATAGACGAGACACAGTGTCCTATTTCCATGGACTATAATAATTGAGACCCAATGTCCAATTTCTCGGGACTACTGGGTATAATAAATGAGACATATTGTCCTGTTTTCCAGGACTGCTTGGTATAATAAACGAGACAAATTGTCCTATTTCCTGGGACTATTATAACCCAGACACAATATCCTATTTCTTTGGATAATAATAAACGAGAAACAATATCTTGCCTGTGTAATAGTGGTGTCAATCTCCTGGTCAATGTTTTGACTGAAGTTGACAGCAGAATGGCTGCGGATGTTTTCCACCACCAGTTTGGTGATCTGTGGAATGTCTAACTGGGCCTCACCAGCCAGATCCAGACATGCTTGTCTCTCTCCCTTCTCTTCCACGCCTATAAAACCACAAATTGGCAGTTATCTCATTGCAATGTTTCCGTGAAATGTTGGGACTGATCAGTATAATCAAGTAATATCCTCAACAGGAACTTTTAGCAAGATGTTGTTAGAGCATAAAGTTTTCAATATAAAACATGAATATTTAAGGATTATTTTGGTGTTATACAGTAGATCTTCTCAAGTTCGAACTTAGCCTCAGTCTTTGTATAATGTATATGCATACCAAGTTTCAACAAAATTGAACAATATTTAAGCAAGTGATCTTTCGGAAACCAAGTGTGGACGGATGCTCCCCATACCATAATATATCTTGTCAAAAACTTTCTTCTCCCCCAATTGCAATTAGTCAGTTTTTGGAATAAGGTGACTGGTGTACTGTTGTATCTCGTTTGAAAATCGTTTATGTGATTGAAATATAACAAAGATAAATCATTATGTATGCTTGATAAGGTCTTTATTCTCATCCTCCTCAAGCAACAGTCCTCTGGCAATCCTTTATCACTTTCCCTGTTGACAGCCTTAATATGCTTATTACACCACACGCCCCTAATAACAATCTCTGGCAATCCTTTATCACTTTCTCTGTCGACAGCCTTAATATGCTTATAACACCACATGCCTCTACTAACAAATCCTTTATCACTTTCTCTGTCGACAGCCTTAATATGCTATTACACCACACACCCCTACTAACAATCTCTGGCAATCCTTTATCACTTTCTCTGTTGACAGCCTTAATATGCTTATTACACCACACGCCCCTACTAACAATCTCTGGCAATCCTTTATCACTTTCTCTGTTGACAGCCTTAATATGCTTATAACACCACACGCCCCTACTAACAGTCCTCTGGCAATCCTTTATCACTTTCTCTGTTGACAGCCTTAATATGCTTATAACACCACACGCCCCTACTAACAATCTCTGGCAATCCTTTATCACTTTCTCTGTTGACAGCCTTAATATGCTTATTACACCACACGCCCCTACTAACAGTCCTCTGGCAATCCTTTATCACTTTCTCTGTTGACAGCCTTAATATGCTTATAACACCACACGCCCCTACTAACAATCTCTGGCAATCCTTTATCACTTTCTCTGTTGACAGCCTTAATATGCTTATTACACCACACGCCCCTACTAACAGTCCTCTGGCAATCCTTTATCACTTTCTCTGTTCACAGCCTTAATATGCTTATTACACCACACGCCCCAACTAACAATCTCTGGCAATCCTTTATCACTTTCTCTGTTGACAGCCTTAATATGCTTATAACACCACACGCCCCTACTAACAATCTCTGGCAATCCTTTATCACTTTCTCTGTTGACAGCCTTAATATGCTTATTACACCACATGCCCATACTAACAGTCCTCTGGCAATCCTTTATCACTTTCTCTGTTCACAGCCTTAATATGCTTATTACACCACACGCCCCAACTAACAATCTCTGGCAATCCTTTATCACTTTCTCTGTTGACAGCCTTAATATGCTTATAACACCACACGCCCCTACTAACAATCTCTGGCAATCCTTTATCACTTTCTCTGTTGACAGCCTTAATATGCTTATAACACCACATGCCCCTACTAACAGTCCTCTGGCAATCCTTTATCACTTTCTCTGTTGACAGCCTTAATATGCTTATAACACCACACGCCCCTACTAACAATCTCTGGAAATCCTTTATCACTTTCTCTGTCGATAGCCTTAATATGCTTATTTCACCACACGCCCCTACTAACAATCTCTGGCAATCCTTTATCACTTTCTCTGTCTACAGCCTTAATATGCTTATCACACCACACGCCCGTACTAACAATCTCTGGAAATCCTTTATCACTTTCTCTGTTGACAGCCTTAATATGCTTATTACACCACACGCCCCTACTAACAATCTCTGGCAATCCTTAATCACTTTCTCTGTTCACAGCCTTAATATGCTTATTACACCACACGCCTCTACTAACAATCTTAAGATGTTCATTTCTGATGTGTTTTGAGTGTTGCTTCTGATTAAATTGATACCATTACTCCTATATCCAAGACTTTAAATAATGCCTTAAATATTTGTTTTAATAAACAGATACTAAATCAAATCCAAAGGTGTACCATTATTTCTATCTGTATTGTTTGAGATTAAGTATACCATTATGACTATCTGTATTGTTTGAGATTAAGTATACCATTATTTCTATCTGTATTGTTTGAGATTAACCATACCATTATTTCTATCTGTATTGCTTGAGATTAACTATACCATTATGATTATCTGTATTGTTTGAGATTAAGTATACCATTATGATTATCTGTATTGTTTGAGATTAAGGATACCATTATGACTATCTGTATTGTTTGAATTTAAGGATACCATTATGACTATCTGTATTGTTTGAGATTAAGTATACCATTATCATTTCTATCTGTATTGTTTGAGATTAAGTATACCATTATCATTTCTATCTGTATTGTTTGAGATTAAGTATACCATTATGAATATCTGTATTGTTTGAGATTAAGGATACCATTTTGATTATCTGTATTGTTTGAGATTAAGTATACCATTATGATTATCTGTATTGTTTGAGATTAAGCATACCATTATGACTATCTGTATTGTTTGAATTTAAGGATTCCATTATGACTATCTGTATTGTTTGAGATTAAGTATACCATTATCATTTCTATCTGTATTGTTTGAGATTAAGTATACCATTATCATTTCTATCTGTATTGTTTGAGATTAAGTATACCATTATCATTTCTATCTGTATTGTTTGAGATTAAGTATACCATTATTTCTGTCTGTATTGTTTGAGATTAAGGATACCATTATGACTATCTGTATTGTTTGAGATTAAGTATACCATTATTATTTCTATCTGTATTGTTTGAGATTAACTATACCATTATTTCTATCTGTATTGTTTGAGATAAAGTATACCATTATGACTATCTGTATTGTTTGAGATTAAGGATACCATTATGATTATCTGTATTGTTTGAGATTAAGTATACCATTATGACTATCTGTATTGTTTGAGATTAAGTATACCATTATGACTATCTGTATTGTTTGAGATTAAGTATACCATTATGACTATCTGTATTGTTTGAGATTAAGTATACCATTATGACTATCTGTATTGTTTGAGATTAAGTATACCATTATGACTATCTGTATTGTTTGAGATTAAGTATACCATTATTACTATCTGTATTGTTTGAGATTACTATACCATTATTTCTATCTGTATTGTTTGAGATTAAGTATACCATTATGATTATCTGTATTGTTTGAGATTAAGGATACCATTATTTCTATCTGTATTGTTTGAGATAAAGGATACCATTATGACTATCTGTATTGTTTGAGATTAAGTATACCATTATTATTTCTTTCTGTATTGTTTGAGATAAAGGAACTAGTCTCTTTTTTTTTTAATGAAATTTCAAAATTATCCCATGCAAATACAAACAGTAGCCAGTAGTCTATAGATCATTTGTCTTATGAAAATGAGCGAGGATGCAACTTTAGCCTTTGAGGATGTATTAACTGTATTTTTAAAGAAATGAAATAACATCTCAGTATCCATGACATTTGTCAAACTGACATTAATGCCATCCATATCTTCTCTGTAATGAGTGAAATACAGTATCATTAATACAGTAAAACCTCTCTATTAACACTGGGGGCATAGAGAAAGTGGGCTTAAAACAGCAAGGTAGTCTCAACTGCGAGGTGGGCTGGATTGACTGCCAACAACTGTAACTCAGTATAACTATTACACCTTAAGACATTATACATTGTATTTATATTGCACATATACATCATTCAGGAATTCAATGGAATATAAAATCATTTCATATATTTCTACTGGTTTCTAAAGCAGATGTCACAATGGATATTAAATATGACAGCTATTATGACCTTAAAGACATGAAAATTATATGAAAATATTCTGCAAAAACTAACTGCAATACAAAAAGTATGTTTTAATCTAAAATTTGGCATTTTTATGATTTTTGCTTGTTTTCTAAGAACATAATATATGACTTACCTTCCAGGAATCTAGCATACCAGATGACTTGGGCATCGCTGGGTAGTGTAGCAACATAGTGAGCTACCAGGTCTTTGTGACTGCCCTGGATCAGGTCCTCTACATATGCCTCCAGTATCACCGAACATAGGTCACCCTTCATTTCAATTCATGAGATATTGTGAACAGCATTTCTAATAAATATTACTGGCCAATAAAGGTTCTTTTTATTGATGTTTGTAAATATTTCAAGCTTTTGTGAAATGCACCTTGTTTAAAATAATGTGAAACAAGCCAATTCGTGGAATGTATATCCCCCGCTTACAGGACATATTGTAGGTTATAACATTATTGAGCTTACCTGGTAGGTTTTAACATGTCGGTGTCGTGCTGTTGAGACATAATGTATAGCTTGAAACTTGAAGAAGAAAAAAAAAGCCCTATACCTCATTGATTATCCGTTAATATGCACAAATCACATCGGTTGGCCAACTTAGCATTAGTTGGATGTGCATAAGGATTTTGGTTGAAACATCTGAACAATATCTACAGCAACAAGTACTAATTGTAATGGGGGACCATTACAGATGTCCCCCAAACTGCACCTAGAGTCGCAAAGATGCATCAGAAAAGGATCGCATTGCCATAGTACACCTACAATGTACATACTAAATTTGAGTGAAATTGAGCAATTTCTAAATTATAACCAATCAGAATCCTCTGTGCAGTTGGTATGGCATTGAAACGTATGCGATTGAATTTGCAGTCCCCTTATACCCCTATATACCAATATTCATTGAAATCAAACAATATCTAAATCCGTTATTGCACGGAAACCTAGCGCGGCAGATAATGACGTGTTTTTTTTCGTTATTCAAGGGGCCATAACTCTGCCAAATAAAGTCCGCTGAAAGTGGCCATCGAACTTGGCCGAGCCCTTAAGGCATTTAACCCAGTGACCAAGTTTGAAAAAAATCGGTTAATATTTGTTGTAGTTATTGCACAGAAACAAAGCGTGACAGACAGACAGACCCACAGACGGACAGACCCATATTAATATCCCCCGTTTCGGTGAAAGCAGGGGATAAAAATACTTGCTTATTGTGTTCATAATTGTTCACTTCAAAAAATAAATAAATAACATAACTGCATACTGTGAAATGGATAGAAAACATTACCAAAGTCAAAGGTGCTTACTCTGATTTGGCGCTGTGTTGTTCGGAGGAAGAGAACCAGGTGGGCCATGAACCGTAATAAATGTTGAGGCACTTTAAGATGGTCATCTCTCACCCAGCCTGCCATTACTTCAATCAGCCCTACAATACATCACAAGGTAGAACGTTTACAGTACCACAATAATCTTATGATACACAAGTTAGTATGGTCACAGTACCTCAATAATCTTGCGATACACAACAAGTTAGCATGGTCCCAGAACCTCAATATTCTTACGATACACAAGTTAGCATGGTCACAGAACCTCAATATTCTTACGATACACAAGTTAGCATGGTCACAGTACCTCAATATTCTAACGATACACAAGTTAGTATGGTCAGAGTACCACAATATTTTTACGATACACAAGTTTGTATGGTCAGAGTACCACAATATTCTTACGATACACAACAAATTAGTATGGTCACAGTAAGCCAATATCCTTACGATATACAACAAGTTAGCATGGTCGGAGTACGACAATATTCTTACGATACACAAGTTAATATGGTCACAGTATGACAATAATCTTACGATACACAACAAGTTAGTATGGTCAGAGTACCACAATATTCTTACGATACACAAGTTAGTATGCTCACAGTACCACAATAACCTTATGTTACACCACAAGTTAGTATAGTCACAGTACCACAATAATTTTATGTTACACCACAAGTTAGTATGGTCACAGTACCACAATAATTTTATGTTACACCACAAGTTATTATGGTCACAGTACCTCTATAATCTTATGTTACACCACAAGTTAGTATGGTCACAGTACCTCTATAATCTCACCACAAGTTAGTATGGTCACAGTACCTCTATAATCTCACCACAAGTTAGTATGGTCACAGTACTATTCATTAAAACTATTGTGGAAACATTACCTTGGTAAAATAATGTACATGTATGGTGGAAAGAAAATGTTCAGGATTCTGGTATAATGGATTACCTTGTAAAGTTTGATAAGTACAAAGTGTATAAATAGAGGTTACACAATGAGTGGTTGTTGAATATGGTATTTATTTCAGTGTCTTTTGTAACTTTTGAAAATTAACTAACGAGAGTGAAATAAATACCATACTCAACAACCACGAGTCGTGTGATCTGTTTCTACCACAATCTCATGATCAGTCGGATTTTTTTGTTTTACAAATTTAATTATTGTCAAAATTAATGTTTCGGCAACAACTTCATGAAAAAATAAAATAGATGAACGACTTTAAACATTGAGAGTAGCAGTATTGCATAAATTTATATAAATCAACCACAGACTTTATGCGCGTAAGCATATCGTACGAAGTCTGCCTCCCGCCAAGTAATGAACCGTTGTAGACAAACTTATCGTTGTCAATATCCAAAACCATAGGCCTACGTTTCTTCGTGACGGTTCTAGGGTTGACGTTTATAGTGAAAGTTCAGCCATAGTTAGATCGTCTAAATAGCGATAATGGGACGTTGGGAGAACGAAATATTGCCCGACACTGTGACAGATCTTGTTTTGGTTTCACGACCTGGACACGCGACGGTGTGTCGTCGAAACGATATCGTGCGTCTGTAGCAATTTTGCCTAAAACTAGCGATCAAATCTTTAAGTATCATCTTAATATTGCCTTAATAACCCCCCTTTCCGCATAACCTCACAAAGTCACCAATATTTGTCGGATGTTGACAGCGGACGACGTAAACAAAACAGCAGGTGGCAAAAAGCATGTGGAAAAAGTCTTCCCGGTCAAAGTTCATCTTCTCGACCAATCAAAACTCTTGAAGGTCATATACCACGTGTGGTATATATCTCATATTTATCTAACAGTCTGCGTGTTTATACAATGATCTAAGAGTGGAATAACACAGCGTATTGTGGTAGAAAGCCTTTTATACAAAAAGCATCTACAAATATTTCACAATGTGTAAATTTGTGTTCACATTACTTAAAGACTTATTATCATAAAATGTGATGCAACAATTTCAAAAATTTGGGATCTTCAGAAAGTTGAATACGGAAGCATACATGTGATGTCTTTGGAACACAAGCATACATGTGATGACTTTGGAACACAAGCATACATGTGATGACTTTGGAACACAAGCATACATGTGATGACTTTGGAACACAAGCATACATGTGATGACTTTGGAACACAAGCATACATGTGATGACTTTGGAACACAAGCATACATGTGATGACTTTGGAACACAAGCATACATGTGATGACTTTGGAACACAAGCATACATGTGATGACTTTGGAACACAATGTAGGAAGATTAGACTTTATGCAAGGAGATTTTTTTGCAGTGTCACAGTGTAACGACATTTCACAAATAATCATCAACTTTCACCGTATTTTTAGGAAAAATAATATCATATGCATGGATGTTTTCAAATCCTCTATTAAACAATCTGAAACTCAGCAAAACAATGGTGTTAAGCAATAAATTAGATATGATATAGATATCAGCAAATGCAATACCAATATTATTATCCCACAAATATCACTGTCATTACAATAATTGCAAAAATTGAAAATTATACATTTAGTAATAGAAAGTCAGTTCAATTTTACCAAGTGTTCATGATAATGTGATAAATGTAGGTTGACACAAATCCACTTAGCAGACTTTTTATCTAAATTACAAATATTATACCATATTTCAAAGTACATGTATGTTATAGTTAGTTAATACCAATATAATATATACAATACATTCTTGTTACTATATTGATGCTTTCAAGCTAAGTTTAATTAAAAACATCTGACAAGAACTTCAAGTCAGAGGAATTGTTGTCACTTGACATTAATATTGCTAACAAGACATTAATATTGCTAAAAATACTTAAAGATAAATGATCGTGTTTCCATGATCTTGATCTGCTTCAGGAGGATTTGTTAAATTTCTACTACATGTCAAAATAATTCTGGTGATAAGTTCACTTCCTCGTACCTACAGTTACTGAACAGTGACATAAAACATCTCCGACAAGTAGCTAGGCCTGCCCCAAATCCATGTGTGTTTTGATCGCGATGTTCAATAATTAGTGTCTGGGTATCTTGTGCGTTTGAATTGTCACCATGAAGATAACCAAACGTTTGAAACACTTAGAATAGATTACTCTAACAAATCTAGCAGTCAGTGAATCTCTCAAGCCCGGCCAATTACTTATGTTGGTTGCTCAATGGAGACTGCCTTTGCACTATTAAAAATTATCTCAAGTTTGGGTTGACAAAACGGGTAATGGAAATTTAGTATGATAGTCAAAGCAATGTCGGCAGATTTCCATGAGAGAACAGGAGAAACGGGAGATAGCTGTTTGAACTCAAAACCAGATAATAACTGGAGACATCGCATGTATGCTGAAGACAAATAATTCACTTAAGGTCCTTGGTTGACTTACTCTCTGTGTCTCCAAGGATGATCCACTTCTGTAAGATATGATACCAGTGTAGACCCTCCTTACTGATTTCCTGTAGTGATTCAGATACGTCACAGTAAAGGGAAAAACAACACAATATACCTAATACATAATTTGATGTTTTAATGAACATTTCAAAATATAATTCCACTTGTTAAGAATTTGGAAAACAAGAGGCCCAGAGGGCCTGTATCGCTCACCTGGGAATGTTAGCAAAATTGAAGTTGAAATAGCCAGATGTACATGTATTGCATGGTTATTAAGGGGTTATATTTATATGCAATTGGACAAAATCCTGTCATTCTTGCAGGAAAAAGAGGATTTTAAAGAATTTGCTGTTTCCCCTATTGGGCACTGCCCCTATGCAAAATTAGGTCCCCTTCTCCCATTCCTTAATTCCTACAGAAGAAGGATTTCAAAGCTATTTTTTTCTATTTTTCCCCGACCCCTCTGCCACCAGGGGTTTCAAACCCACCATTTATACCAAATTGAATTCCCTTCCAAATAGGATGCTACTGTTCAAATTTGGTCAAAATTCCTTCATCCCAACGGAATAAGAAGGATATAAAAGCTATTCCTCTCGATCTAAATCCCTTATTGGACCCCTCCTCTCTGCCCGAAGGGGGTCAGACCCATCATTTATACAAAATAAGTTCCCCTTCACACAAAGGAAAAGGAGCTTCATACCCAAATTTGGATAAAATCCTGTCATTCCTACAGAAGAAGGATTTTGAAGAATTTGCTATGTTTCCCCTATTGGCATTAGCCCTGCCCCTCTACCCCCAAGGGGGGCCACACTCATTATTTATACAAAATTGAACCTCCCCTTGGACCAAGGATGCTCCAGACTAAATTAGGATGAAATCCCTTTATCCCTATACTAGAAGAAGGATTTTAAAGGTTTGACCTCTATTTCCTCTATTGGGCCCAGCCCCTCTGCCCTAGGGCAGCCAAACCCTCCATTTTTACCAAATAGAGTCTCCTTGGTCTAAGGATGCTCCAGACTAAATAAGGATAAAATCCCTTCATCCCTACAATAGGAGAAGGATTTTAAAGGCCTTACCTCTTTTCCCCCCATTCAGCACCAACCCTCTGCTCCCATGGCCAGGGGGCCACATCCACCATTTATACAAAATTCATTTCCCTTCCAAATAGGATGCTACTGTTCAAATTCGGTCAAAATACCTTCATCCCAACGGAAGAAGAAGAATATTAAAGTTATTCCTCCATATCCCTTATTGGGCCCCTCCTCTCTGCCCCCATGGGGGGTGGGGGTGCGGCACACTCGCTGTCTATACAAAACTAAGTCCTCTTGGCCTAAGGATGCTCCAGACCAATTTTAATCAAAATCTACTAGGCCGTTCAGGACTAGTAGCATTTTAAAGGAAAGTTGACGGACGGACAACGGACGCTGCGGTATGGCATAAGCTCACCATGGTCCTTCGGACAAGGTGAGCTTAACAAGAGGCCCAAATGGGCCTACACCGCTAACCTGGTATTAATCTCACAATTGTAACCTTAAAAGTGGACTAAAATAAAGCTACAGGCAAAATATCAGTGTCTTGACTTCAAGTCATTCAGAAGAACCTGTTAAACGATTAAACACATTTGACACCTGTGACCTTAAAAAGTCAAACACACTTCATAGCCCTTCTAAGAATGCAACTTAAAGATTTATGCACTAGTGACCAGATGTGACCATGTCAAGGTCATTCACATCAAAAAGCAACCAGATGTGACCATGTCAAGGTCATTCACATCAAAAAGCAATCACCCTGTATGCTTTAGTTATTCAGAAAAAGTCGTTTAAGGATTTCAACATATTTGACCCCAGTGACCTTGAATATGGAAAAAGGTCATTCCTTTGAACAAACTTTGTAGGTCTTAATGCCAACATGCTACTGGCCAAATATCATCACCCTACCCTTGACCTTTTGGTTATACAGAAGAAGTTGTTTAAAGGTTTTAAAGACAATTGACTCCTTTGACCTTGAATATGATTGGATGTCATTTAATTAAACAAACTTGGTAGTCCTTCATGCCAACATCCTTTTGGCCAAATATCATCACCCTGGACCTTTTGGTTATTCAAGACAATTGACCCCTGTGACCTTGAATATGGGTGAAGGTCATTTATTTGAACAAACTTTGTAGCCCTTCATGCCAACATCCTTCTGGCCAAATATCATCACCCTGGACCTTTCGGTTTTACAGAAGAAGTTGTTTTAAGGTTTTTAAGACAATTGACCCCTGTGACCTTGAATATGGCCGAAGGTCATTCTTTTGAACAATCTTGGTAGCCCTTCATCCCCTCATGCTACTGGCCAAATTTCATCACCTTGAAACTTTTGGTTATTCAGAAGTTGTTTAAAGATTTCAACATATTTGACCCCTGTGACCTTGAATATAGGTGAAGGTAATTCATTTGAACAAACTTGGTAGCCCTTCATCCCAGCATGCTACTGGCCAAATATCATCAGTCTTGGCCTCTTGGTTATTCAGAAGAAGTTTAAAGTAAAAAGTTGACACCAGACGGACGCTGCACCATGCCATAACCAGGTGAGCTAAAATCCTGTTAACATTTCAATTATTTAATTTGATGCAAAATAAATACAAATCTGTCCTAATTTATTGACAATAGAAAATAAGTTTTCAATTATGTATTACACTTCGTGTATCAGATTTCATAAAGATTGTTGACACTGATTATTTTTGTAATATAAGTACCGGCAAAACAATGGAATGGATTTTATTTTTTAAAGAAAATTTGTACATACATCATAAGCTTCCAATCTTCTAAAAACAGATTCAGCATCAGATCTGCAATGTAAAATCCTTAAACAATGCAATGTAACATCATCAAATCATCTCAATTCTAAAGACTCTGCGGGATGTTTTTTTGATCAAATCAGTATATGACTCTAAAAGACTTTTATTTCATTAATTACTTGCATGAATATTTTTTTCCATTACTCGTGTTTTATGTATAATTTCCAATATAACTTTTTCATATATGCAGTATTACCTCCCCTTAATTTTGTTTTGAATGTAAGGTTACATTCGCATATCCCGGTTGAAACGGTACAGGTTGAACAGAAATATTCCACGATTAACGAACACACTTGGACTGTTCTATAAGCAGAGCTTAAAATGCAGTTTCAGAAAATAAATAACAATGTGTCAATATTATTATGCCCATCTTTCACGCGTCCAAAAGAGGCCCAAGGGTCTTAGCGGTCACCTGAGTTATATCATAGGTACTGGTAGCTTTGTTTTATTGTTTAGATGTGATGTGGAAATCAGCATGTAAACTAAGTGAAATACAATACTTGTCATGTCATCAAAGGATGAGAATTTGAAAATATTGGTAAATGTTTCCTTTGGGGCCCTGCCCTAAACCCCTGGGGATGGGGCAGGAATCCAAATTTTACAATGTGATACCCTCATTCACCAAAGATGAATCTGACTAAGTTTGAGTAATTTTCTGCTGAAAATGGATAAAATATACTCAAAAGTGTTATTTCCGTATATAAACTATAGTAAACTTAACCCCCTCCCAAGGGAGAACGGATAGCTCGGGGGTCCTGAAATTTACAATTTAAATAAAGCCCCTGATGATCTTTCTTTCCATGCAGAGAAAATGACTGAGCACCTCTGAGTCTGGAGAAGAAAATTTTTGAAATACAGTCGAACCTCGTTATCTCGAAGTCGACGGGATCGTTGGGAAACTTCGAGTTATCCGAGTATTCGAGTTAAGCGAGTTCCTATGTTTGGCATAAAGCTTGGTAAAGTTCCAATATGATGCTATATATGTCATTGATTTCTCTGACAATCAACGTGTTTAAACAGTCGATAAATGACAAAAAGATAACTATATACAATAAAAAAATAACAACTTATTTTATATTCATTAATTAATTAATGTTACAATAAACACACATGCTGTCTCCGACCTCGTGCTATGCTGATAGAAAATTTCAATGCGGAAATGAAAGTGCGCAAGTCTTTATACAAATCACTGTATTGGAGCGTACACATTGGATTGCTCAGTTGATTTCCACATTCCGAAATGGGTATGAGTTAATCAGGAAACATATCCACATTTATAGACCCAATGACACTTGACATCTCCTCAACACGACGTAGTCAACAATAATTATCGTTTTGTTCCTATAATCTCTCAATTACTTATCAGTGCCATACAGGCCCCTGTACAAACATAAACCAACGAACCAGTCCTAGGTTGTGATTTTTACTGTGGAGCTTATTTACGCATGACCGCACACTGTGACCCATTTTCCGGTTACAATGTGTCGGCAGCTTTGGTGTAAATAAAGTGCTACTCAAATTGTTTACGGGCTCGATGTAAGTACTAATTGTTGTTAATCAACATTGATGAAATTTGTTTCTTTATTTGTACCAAGTGCTTTTACAGTCAAACACATTTTAATGCCATAAGTTTAATCGAAGTAATTATGACCGAGCGTAAGCTGCTCTATGAGAACGATGTTTACCGTAGCATTGCGTCTAATATGTATCAAATAATCAAAGAATATAAGATAGACTTGTGAATCTTAAGAAACTTCGAGGTAGGAGATATTTTTATGTAGGATTTACGTTGTTGGGACCGATGTTTCACTTCGGGATATCCAAGTTTTTCGAGTTTTCAGATTTCGAATTATCAGAGTTTTTATTAATAAGATTAAGAAGAGTTTAGGCCGGGACCAATGACATACCTCGAGTTAAACGAGGTCTTCGAGTTATACGAGTTCGAGATAACGAGGTTTGACTGTATTGGTTAATTTTCCCTTTCGGGCGCTACCCTGGCCCCAGGGTTTGGGGTAGGAATCCCAATTTTATAACTTTGTAGCCTCATCTTCCAAGGATGATTCTGACCAAGTTTGAAAAAAATCCATCCGCTGGTTCTTGAAAAGAAGTTGAAAATGTAAAAAGTTTACACACGACGGACGGAAAGCGATTAGAATAGGTCACTTGAGTAAAGCTCAGGTGACCTAAAAACGACATGTGGCTTGACATTGTTTTAGAAAGGATTAACGCAAACTAGCAATAGTCAGCATTTTAGTTTCAGTCAGGTACGTCTGGACCCCTCAATCTACTTGTGCCAAATATTCCAGAGGTGAGCCTCGGTTCAGATCTGCGCCTGTTGTTTTCTTTACAGGTTCAACGAGTTTGGCCAGGACACTTGCGTTCACTAGGTCGCTCAGTTGGTTAGAGTGAGAGTATACCAATCTGAAGTCGATGGTTTGAATCCCAGTCTAGTCCTGCTTAATTTTTTAATCTTAGAATGCTGTTGTTGATAATTGTTTTCCTGTCCTTTAAATGATGTTGTTGTCGACCCTGAACATGATTTACAAACCAATGGTTAAGTTACCAAGTGCTTCCATGTTGTGATGTTGGCCCTTTTTTAGTGATCTCTTGTCAAACAAACTTACGATTGATCCCAAAACTCTGCAGGCATACTGACAAGCTGCCGTCCAGACAACTTGTGTGTGCGTAGTTCCTGCTCCATCCTCACATCCACGAGGACCTTGTAGTGGGCCCACAGATAGTCCAGCCAGTCTTTACAAACTGGCAATACAGCATGAAGATTACCACTCAGGACACCATAGATAGCCTTCTCAAAAGGGTCATAGCTAGGCTGTTAAAGCAAAAACAATTATTTTGATTTTATATTTACATAACTCTTTATTAATAGAACAGAAAAAGTTACATAGATATGTACTCTCTGATAAAAGCTGAATTCTCTTGAACTGATTATCAGAGAGGCATGCTAGATGTTTGTAGTGACATTCTGGAAAGTCTGTTCTGTGTGCAGTGATCATATTGAACAGATTTTAAGGCCATTAACATAATTTTTAACAATATTTTATACTTTTCCTTCAGAAATACAAATATTTAACTAAGCAACGACTTGAACCTTTAAAACAAGAGGCCAAATGGGCCTGAATTGTTCACCTGGTATTAATCTCACACTTGTAATCTTAAAAGTGGACTAAAATACAGCTACAGGCAGAATATCAGTGTTCGACTCATAAGAACCTATTAAAATTTAAACATATGACGCCTGTGACCTGGAATGTCGAACAAGGGTAGTAGGTTGAACAGAGTTTAAAGTCGTCCAACCCAGCAAGCTTCTGGCAAAATATCATTACCCTGGACCTTTTGGATATACAGAACAAGTCATTTAAAGATTTAAACATATATGGACCACTGTGACCTTGAATATGGGCAAAGGTCATTCATTCAAACAAGAGGCCCATGGGCCTTAACGGTCACCTGAGTCTACAGTATTTATTTTTGTTGTTGAAATATGTACCAATTTGAGTAAAAAATAGTATAATGTTAACTTAACTTTGTCAGGACCATGAGCTGATCATTCCTAGACCAATTTTAAGTGAGATCGGCCTATTAGAACTTAGTAGCAAAATAGCGGCCATGGCAGCCAAATTGTATTTCTGATTGACCCGAAAAATAACAACACTTTGTCAGGACCATGAGGCGATCATTCCTACCAACTTTCAGTTCAATCGGTCCAGCAGAACTTGACTTTAAGTTTGAAATAGGTTTTCAAAATGGCGGCCGTGGCGGCCATATTGGATTTCTGATCGACCCGAAAAATAACAACACTTTGTCAGGACCATGAGGCGATCATTCCTACCAACTTTCAGTTCAATCGGTCCAGCAGAACTTGACTTTAAGTTTGAAATAGGTTTTCAAAATGGCGGCCGTGGCGGCCATATTGGATTTCTGATCGACCCGAAAAATAACAACACTTTGTCAGGACCATGAGGCGATCATTCCTACCAACTTTCAGTTCAATCGGTCCAGCAGAACTTGACTTTAAGTTTGAAATAGGTTTTCAAAATGGCCGCCGTGGCGGCCATATTGGATTTCTGATCGACCCGAAAAATAACAACACTTTGTCAGGACCATGAGGCGATCATTCCTACCAACTTTTAGTTCAATCGGCCCAGCAGAACTTGACTTTAAGTTTGAAATGTAAAATGTTAACGGACGACGGACGACGGACGACGACGGACGAAAACGGATAGCAAACTTGGTAGTCCTTCATCCCAGCATGTTACTGGCCAAATATCATTAACCTAGGCCTCTTGGTTTTAAACATATATGAGACCACTGTGACCTTGAATATTTGTCAAGGTCATTCATTTAAACAAACTTGATAGTCTTCATCCCAGCAAATTACTGACCGAATATCATTATCCTAGGCTTCTTGGTCATTCATCAGAAGTTGTTTAAAGGTTTCAAACATATTTGACCCCTGTGACCTTGATTAAAATTTCAAGGTCATTTTTTGAACAAATTTGGAAGTCCTTTTTCACAGCATGCTACTGGCCAAATAGCATCATCCTAGGCCTTTTGATTATTGAGAAGTTGTTTAAAAGTTTTAAAACATATTTGACCCCTGTGACCTTTAATATATGTCAAGGGGATTCATTTAAACACACTTGGTAGCCCTTATCCTTGCATGATACTGGCCAAATATCATTATCCTAGGCCTCTTAGTTATTCAGAAGAAGTTATTTAAAGTTTTTTTAAACATATTTGGACCCTGTGACCATGAAAATTGGTGAAAGTCATTCATTTGAACATTTGGTAGCCCTTCAAACTAGCATGCTACTGGCCAAATAGCATCATCCTAAATCTTTTTGTTATTGAAAAGAAGTTGTTTAAAAGGTTTTAAACATATTTGACAATTGTGACCTTGAATATAAGTCAAGGTCATTTATTTGAACAAACTTGGTAGCCAAATATCATAACCCTCGTCCTCTTATATAATAAGTTGTTCAGAAGAAGTTGTTAAAAGATTTATTTTAGACAACTGACCTGTGACCTTGAAAATGGATGAAGGTCATTCATTTGAACAAACTTGGTAGCCCTCCATCCCAGCATGCTACTGGCTAAATATCATCTCCTTGGGCATTTTGGTTATACAGAAGTTGTTTAAAGTTTTTAACATATTTGACCCCTGTGACCTTGAAAATAAGTGAAGGTCATGTATTTGAACAAACTTGATAGCCCTTCATTCCAGTTTGCTTCTGGCAAAATATCACCACCCTAGGCCTCTTGGTTAATAATAATAAGTTGTTTAAAGTAAAATAAGCTAAAAAGTTACGCCTATGTTTTGCCTCCCTGACATCCACTGCAGGTGAGACTTGATGAACATGTTTGCCTACCTCTTTGGCCATGTTCCAGCAGACATTTCTCCAAATGTCTCGGTTAGGATTTCCCTCTACTGAGCATGCCTGGCCATCATCCAAGGCCTCAAAGTTGGGGTCATGGTAAAGTTTCCATCCCTCTAGTGTAGCAGCTCTCCATGCCTGTCCATGTTCACGACAAATGTCCTGGGCCTGAAGGAAGTTATATAAACTAATGTACACAATGCACTGATGATTCTGTCATTAATTGCATACATTTATATCAGGAACACATGGTTAAGAAGCCAAGAAAGAAAACAATGCAAGGAACAATATATACAGGTCTTAAATACTATTTAATATCCAGCAATTTTTAGCATGGAAAGGCTTATCCAGAAATGAAGACAACCAGTTGGTGGTAGGATGACTCTTTTTTTAGCCCCCCACCCCCAACAAAACAGTAACTGCATTGCAAACAGTGATATTGTATACCCACAGATTAAATTTGGTCAGCGTATTCGAAAATGAAAACAAGTGATTTTACAAGTAATCAAAATGAGTCCATTTTAATAAATTTAATGAACTTGATAAGATAACATACTTGCTGTAGTTGACCTGCCCTTATGTACACAAACAATGTCTGAAGAAGGCGTGATTCATCTTCCTTATCCAAATCATCGACCATCTTTTTCTGTCTTACTGCAGCATCTGGATCCTGAATCAAGTGTCCACAGCATTTATGATCAGAAGTCTTGTCAAGTATACACAGCATTTATAATCAGAAGTCTTGTCAAGTGAACACAGCATTTATAAACAGGTACCTTGTCAAGTATACACAGCATTTAAAATCAGAAGTCTTGTCAAGTATACACAGCATTTATAATAAGATATCTTGTCAAGTGTACACAGCATTTATAATCAGAAGTCTTGTCAAGTGAACACAGCATTTATAAACAGGTACCTTGTCAAGTATACACAGCATTTAAAATCAGAAGTCTTGTCAAGTATACACAGCATTTATAAACAGAAGTCTTGTCAAGTATACACAGCATTTATAAACAGGTGCCTTGTCAAGTATACACAGCATTTATAATCAGATACCTTGTCAAGTGAACACAGCATTCATAATCAGGTACCTTGTCAAGTATACACAGCATTTATAATCAGAAGTCTTGTCAAGTATACACAGCATTTATAAACAGGTACCTTGTCAAGTGTACACAGCATTCATAAACAGGTACCTTGTCAAGTATACACAGCATTTATAAACAGGTACCTTGTCAAGTGTACACAGCATTCATAAACAGGTACCTTGTCAAGTGTACACAGCATTTATAAACAGGTACCTTGTCAAGTGTACACAGCATTCATAAACAGGTACCTTGTCAAGTGTACACAGCATTTATAAACAGGTACCTTGTCAAGTGTACACAGCATTCATAAACAGGTACCTTGTCAAGTGTACACAGCATTTATAAACAGGTACCTTGTCAAGTGTACACAGCATTCATAAACAGGTACCTTGTCAAGTGTACACAGCATTTATAAACAGGTACCTTGTCAAGTGTACACAGCATTCATAAACAGGTACCTTGTCAAGTGTACACAGCATTTATAAACAGGTACCTTGTCAAGTGTACACAGCATTCATAAACAGGTACCTTGTCAAGTATACACAGCATTTATAAACAGGTACCTTGTCAAGTGTACACAGCATTCATAAACAGGTACCTTGTCAAGTGTACACAGCATTTATAAACAGGTACCTTGTCAAGTGTACACAGCATTCATAAACAGGTACCTTGTCAAGTGTACACAGCATTTATAAACAGGTACCTTGTCAAGTGTACACAGCATTCATAAACAGGTACCTTGTCAAGTATACACAGCATTTATAAACAGGTACCTTGTCAAGTGTACACAGCATTCATAAACAGGTACCTTGTCAAGTGTACACAGCATTTATAAACAGGTACCTTGTCAAGTGTACACAGCATTCATAAACAGGTACCTTGTCAAGTGTACACAGCATTTATAAACAGGTACCTTGTCAAGTGTACACAGCATTCATAAACAGGTACCTTGTCAAGTGTACACAGCATTTATAAACAGGTACCTTGTCAAGTGTACACAGCATTCATAAACAGGTACCTTGTCAAGTATACACAGCATTTATAAACAGGTACCTTGTCAAGTGTACACAGCATTCATAAACAGGTACCTTGTCAAGTGTACACAGCATTTATAAACAGGTACCTTGTCAAGTGTACACAGCATTCATAAACAGGTACCTTGTCAAGTATACACAGCATTTATAAACAGGTACCTTGTCAAGTGTACACAGCATTCATAAACAGGTACCTTGTCAAGTGTACACAGCATTTATAAACAGGTACCTTGTCAAGTGTACACAGCATTCATAAACAGGTACCTTGTCAAGTGTACACAGCATTTATAAACAGGTACCTTGTCAAGTGTACACAGCATTCATAAACAGGTACCTTGTCAAGTGTACACAGCATTTATAAACAGGTACCTTGTCAAGTGTACACAGCATTCATAAACAGGTACCTTGTCAAGTGTACACAGCATTTATAAACAGGTACCTTGTCAAGTGTACACAGCATTCATAAACAGGTACCTTGTCAAGTGTACACAGCATTTATAAACAGGTACCTTGTCAAGTGTACACAGCATTCATAAACAGGTACCTTGTCAAGTATACACAGCATTTATAAACAGGTACCTTGTCAAGTGTACACAGCATTCATAAACAGGTACCTTGTCAAGTGTACACAGCATTTATAAACAGGTACCTTGTCAAGTGTACACAGCATTCATAAACAGGTACCTTGTCAAGTATACACAGCATTTATAAACAGGTACCTTGTCAAGTGTACACAGCATTCATAAACAGGTACCTTGTCAAGTGTACACAGCATTTATAAACAGGTACCTTGTCAAGTGTACACAGCATTCATAAACAGGTACCTTGTCAAGTGTACACAGCATTTATAAACAGGTACCTTGTCAAGTGTACACAGCATTCATAAACAGGTACCTTGTCAAGTGTACACAGCATTTATAAACAGGTACCTTGTCAAGTGTACACAGCATTCATAAACAGGTACCTTGTCAAGTATACACAGCATTTATAAACAGGTACCTTGTCAAGTGTACACAGCATTCATAAACAGGTACCTTGTCAAGTGTACACAGCATTTATAAACAGGTACCTTGTCAAGTGTACACAGCATTCATAAACAGGTACCTTGTCAAGTGTACACAGCATTTATAAACAGGTACCTTGTCAAGTGTACACAGCATTCATAAACAGGTACCTTGTCAAGTGTACACAGCATTTATAAACAGGTACCTTGTCAAGTGTACACAGCATTCATAAACAGGTACCTTGTCAAGTATACACAGCATTTATAAACAGGTACCTTGTCAAGTGTACACAGCATTCATAAACAGGTACCTTGTCAAGTGTACACAGCATTTATAAACAGGTACCTTGTCAAGTGTACACAGCATTCATAAACAGGTACCTTGTCAAGTATACACAGCATTTATAAACAGGTACCTTGTCAAGTGTACACAGCATTCATAAACAGGTACCTTGTCAAGTGTACACAGCATTTATAAACAGGTACCTTGTCAAGTGTACACAGCATTTATAAACAGGTACCTTGTCAAGTGTACACAGCATTCATAAACAGGTACCTTGTCAAGTATACACAGCATTCATAAACAGGTACCTTGTCAAGTATACACAGCATTTATAAACAGGTACCTTGTCAAGTGTACACAGCATTCATAAACAGGTACCTTGTCAAGTGTACACAGCATTTATAAACAGGTACCTTGTCAAGTGTACACAGCATTCATAAACAGGTACCTTGTCAAGTGTACACAGCATTTATAAACAGGTACCTTGTCAAGTGTACACAGCATTCATAAACAGGTACCTTGTCAAGTGTACACAGCATTTATAAACAGGTACCTTGTCAAGTGTACACAGCATTCATAAACAGGTACCTTGTCAAGTGTACACAGCATTTATAAACAGGTACCTTGTCAAGTGTACACAGCATTCATAAACAGGTACCTTGTCAAGTGTACACAGCATTTATAAACAGGTACCTTGTCAAGTGTACACAGCATTCATAAACAGGTACCTTGTCAAGTGTACACAGCATTTATAAACAGGTACCTTGTCAAGTGTACACAGCATTCATAAACAGGTACCTTGTCAAGTGTACACAGCATTTATAAACAGGTACCTTGTCAAGTGTACACAGCATTCATAAACAGGTACCTTGTCAAGTGTACACAGCATTTATAAACAGGTACCTTGTCAAGTGTACACAGCATTCATAAACAGGTACCTTGTCAAGTGTACACAGCATTTATAAACAGGTACCTTGTCAAGTGTACACAGCATTCATAAACAGGTACCTTGTCAAGTATACACAGCATTCATAAACAGATACCTTGTCAAGTATACACAGCATTTATAAACAGGTACCTTGTCAAGTATACACAGCATTCATAAACAGGTACCTTGTCAAGTGTACACAGCATTTATAAACAGGTACCTTGTCAAGTGTACACAGCATTCATAAACAGGTACCTTGTCAAGTGTACACAGCATTCATAAACAGATACCTTGTCAAGTATACACAGCATTTATAAACAGGTACCTTGTCAAGTGTACACAGCATTCATAAACAGGTGCCTTGTCAAGTGCACACAGCATTCATAAACAGATACCTTGTCAAGTGTACACAGCATTCATAAACAGGTGCCTTGTCAAGTGAACACAGCATTCATAAACAGATACCTTGTCAAGTGTACACAGCATTCATAAACATGTGCCTTGTCAAGTATACACATCATTTATAAACAGGTACCTTGTCAAGTATACACAGCATTTATAAACAGGTGCCTTGTCTTGAGTATACACAGCATTTATAAACAGGTACCTTGTCAAGTATACACAGCATTCATAAACAGATACCTTGTCAAGTATACACAGCATTCATAAACAGGTGCCTTGTCAAGTGTACACAGCATTCATAATTAGGTGCCTTGTCAAGTATACACAGCATTCATAAACAGGTACCTTGTCAAGGGTACACAGCATTCATAAACAGGTGCCTTGTCAAGTGTTCACAGCATTTATAAACAGGTACCTTGTCAAGTGTACACATCATTTATAAACAGGTGCCTTGTCAAGTATACACAGCATTTATAAACAGATGCCTTGTCAAGTATACACAGCATTCATAAACTGAAGTCTTGTCAAGTGTACACAGCATTTATAAACAGGTGCCTTGTCAAGTGTACACAGCATTCATAATTAGGTGCCTTGTCAAGTATATACAGCATTCATAAACAGGTACCTTGTCAAGTATACACAGCATTTATAAACAGGTGCCTTGTCAAGTATACACAGCATTCATAAACTGAAGTCTTGTCAAGTGTACACAGCATTTATAAACAGGTGCCTTGTCAAGTGTTCAGACATTCCCAGGAATTTCTTATCAAACTTAAATATCCAACAATATATGCATTGAAAACACAAAATGCTGGCACTAATAACATAATAACAAGATATATATATATATTAAACATATCAACAATAGCTTTAAAAAGAAACAACAAACATATATAGATTGCTAATAACATTTATAACTTACAATCTCATCAACCAGCGGACGATCTGTTCCTCCAAACATAGTTCCTGATTCTCTTGTTTGTAGTTTATGCAGAGTATTTTCCCTGTAATGAAATTTATATATGACAAGAGGTCTATGGGCCTTAACGGTCACCCGAGTTCTGATTTTTGTTTTTAAAACATGAACAGAAGTATTATTCAAAGTGACAAAAAACAATAAAACAACCTTATTCCATATCTAGCATACAGATTTAAGACTGAAAAGTATTTGAAACTAGCACCTCTCATTCTAAACAAGAACAAGACGCCCAATGGGCCTGCATCGCTCACCTGGTATTTATCTCACAGAGTCAAGGTCATTCATTTGAACAAACTTTGTAGTCCTTCATCCAAGCATGCTACAGGCCGAATATCAGTGCCCTGGGCCTTTTGGTTATTGAGAAGTGGTTTGAAGATTTTATGACATTTGACCCCTGTGACCTTGAAAGTGGGTCAAGGTCATTCATTTGAACAAACTTTGTAGTCCTTCATCTCAGCATGGTACAGGCCAAATATCAGTACCCTGGGCTTATTAATAAGGTTATTGAGAAGAAGTCGTTTGAAGATTTAGAGACATCTGAGCCCAGTGACCTTGAAAGTGGGTCAAGGTCATTCATTTGAACAAACTTGGTAGCCCATCATTCCAGCATGCAACAGGCCCAATATCAGTACCCTTGGCCTTTTGGTTATTGAGAAGAATTTGTTGGAAGATTTTAAGACATTTGACCTCTGTGACTTTGAAAATTCGTCAAGGTCATTCATTTGAACAAACTTGGTAGCCCTTCATCCCAGCATGCTACAGGCCCAATATCAGTACCCTGGGCCTTTTGGTTATTGAGGAGAAGTTATTTGAAGATTTAAACATATTTGACCCTTGTGACCTTGAAAGTGGGTCAAGATCAGTCATTTGAACAAACTTGGTAGCCCTTTAGCTAACCTAGCCCGAAAGGTGAGCTAAAAATGCAGAAATTTTAGCACACTGACTCCTTTGGGCGCCCTTGGGGTCTAAAGTAGAGCTGGCTCAAAATTTTCAAAGTATTAATTAAACTGTCAACTCAGGGTTATAATTCCAATCAAGTTATCAACATGTAATATTCAAAGTATCATTTGCCATAATAAATTTGATTCTAACTTATCTGGGTCTTGAGTCGAGAAGAGGATTTTGAAATTTCAGTCAATTCGACCCATTTTGGCCCCACCCATCAGCCCCTTGGGGTTAGTCAGGGCTGATATGTACATACCATCAAACTGCTATCCAATACTGAGATAATGCTAATCCAAATTGAATTACTTCCAATGGAAAGAAGAAATCGAAAATGTAAATTGTTTACGGACAGACGACGACGGACAAAAGGCGATCGCAATAGGTCACTCGTGAGATTTTGTCTAAAAATGTTACCTATCGTAAATGAAATGTTATACAGCACTTCTGTTCTTCATTCTTAGGAACAATATATTTAAGTTAAACAAGCATACTGAGCATTGCCAATGCAATACATGTCCCCTAAAAGAGTGCCCTTTGGGGTTAATTTAGGAAAATGAAAAGTATACAATTAGCCTGTAACTGTTTTTAATGTAATAATAATACAAGAAATTGTAATGTTAGTATTATGATAGAGGAATTATATAAAATAAAATGATTGACAACCCTGCAACTCGAACTTGTCCCGAGATATTATAATTATTGACCTTTGTAATTGTGTGAAATTTGATCAAATTCCCTTTAGGCATGAAGCCGCTAGAGCGCTGATCATACTTTTTCTAAAAATAGTAACAGTGACCTTGACCCTACAACGCTGAAACTCAAACATGTCAGAGATATTATGGTCCTTTGTAATTGTGTAAAGTTTGATCCAAATCCCTCAAGGAATGAAGCCGCTACAGCGCCGACAAGGATTTTCAAACAAGAGGCCCAATGGGCCTGCATCGCTCACCTGGTATTAATCTCACACTTGTAATCTTAAATGTTGACTAAAATACAGCTACAGGCAGAATATCAGTGTTTGGTTCATAAGAACCTATTAAAAGATTTAAATATATGATGCCTGTGACCTTGAATGTCGAACAAGGACATTAGGTTGAACAGAGTTTTTAGTCTTCCAACCCAGCATGCTTCTGGCAAAATATCATTACCCTAAACCTTTTGGTTATACAGAACAAATCATTTAAAGATTTAAATATCTATTCACCACTGTGACCTTGAATAGGGTGAAGGTCATTCACTTGGTAGTCCTTCATCCCAGCATGTTAATGGCCAAATATCATCACTCTTGGCCTTTGCTTATTAAGAAGAAGTCATTGGTTTTAAACATATTTGACCCCTGTGACCTTGAATATATATGTCAAGGTCATTCATTTGAACAAACTTGGTAGTCCTTCATCCCAGCATGTTACTGGCATTATATTAGGCCTCTTGGTTATTCAGAAGAAGTTGTTTAAAGGTTAAAAACATATTTGACCCCTGTGACCTTGAAAAAAGATGAAGGTCATTCATTTGAACAAACTTGGTAGCCCTTCATCACAGCATGTTACTGGCCAAATATCATCATCCTATGCCTCTTGATTATTCAGAAGAAGTTGTATAAAGATTTTAACATATTTTACCCATGTGACTTTGAAAATGAATTAAGGTCATTTATTTGAACAAACTTCATAGCCCTTCATCCAAGCATGTTACTGGCCAAATATCATCACCCTAGGCCTCTCAGTTATTCAGAAGAAGTTTTTTAAAGGTTTTAAAAATATTTGACCCCTGTGACCTTGAATATAAGGCAAGGTCATTTATTTGAACAAGCTTGGTAGCCCTTCATTCCAG